AGAGTGATTAAGGCATAGAATGCTCCGATTACTGACGCCGATATGTCCACATCCGTGGAATTTCTTAAGAGGGAAAGTAACCAGTAAAATCACACATACCACCACATCGTCAGAAACTAGCGCATTTCTCCCTTTGTACCATCCACCCCAAAGTAAAGCGTTATAAAATATACTACCTCCTGTGTTTCAGTAACACTGTATTGTAATTGTTAGTTAAATTCTTCTTCGCGTGACAGCAGACGCGCAACGGCGCATACCATAGGCAGAATAGCATTACCGACAAAGACTCAGCGGTTAGGGACGATGGACTTCTAACCAACAGGAAGCGGGGCCGAAGCCAGGTGTTCCACATTTCAGGGTTGAGTGTAGATGGCTAACGACGGCTTATAAGCCAGAAATTGCTATTTCAGTCTCCCTTATCTTTTCTGATAATGTTATCCTGTCTACCGTGTGGTCCAGTGCATTGTAGATGATGTCTGCATGTTCACTTTTCAGCAATGAGTTTTTATGCGTCCACTATTTTTGCCACATCAGGCAAAAACTGATATATTATCATTTACTAGACAGCTGCATGCTTATTGTATGCGGTTCTGTACCCAGTCTTCTTTGCAGCGTTCTTAATGTATCGATATTTTTCTTTTGCGTTTTTGTAACCAGTAGGGAGTTCGTAGGCATTCGCCAACATATCCCTTAATGGAAGTGGATTGAGCTGAACTGAACATCTAGAGTTGACCGACCGTCTTTAAACTCATCACTGCCAGCAGCATTCGTGTAGCAGCCGATCTTACAAATAGAGTCCACAGTATTTAGCCATTCTGAGTGTCATTGTCTTTGTGGTATTTGGCCGGACGCGTCATCTTCCTTCATGTTTTCTGGCAACCTGAACCTCTTCTTCAAGTGGTAGTCTCTAGGCATAAGAAACTGCCTAGAATCTCTTGTTTACTCAGTAAAATGGGAATTTCGGTTGCTTGGGTGGAAAAACCTTTACAATAAACATGCAGTTACCTGGATTAAAGCAGTCAGATGGTCAAGAATTCATTTATTCTGTTCACTCCCTTTCATGTTACTCAGTGTGGGATACTTATAAAGATTACTTATGGTCAATTTATGACGCTGCTGCTCGTTCTAGGTTTTAAAAAGTTTCTAATTATGAGATTTTTGAGACCGCGCAATGTCCATTCACACAGCATCGTACCTGGCCGTTTACCACAGCTCCTCATGAAATGTACAACATAGTCCGCATCCATTGTAAAATTGTATGGACACTATTTAGTATCTTTTTAAAGGCATAGAAGAATATGTGATTTTCTTTAAGCGGAACTCATGTACCTTGTAGATTGTAATTACTAACCGCTGAATGATCAGGCCCCAAATTATTCGGCAATTAGAAAACTTTTTTAAAACCCAATTATACTTCTTCCTTGAGTAAAAAATATAAAGAAGACGTGATTCTCTATTAATTGACTGAAAGAAAGCACATTTTGTTTACGGTTTCAATTAGATATATTTGAATTTGCAAGACCATTGAAAATCAATAGGAAAAATGCATGCTACTTATGTAGTAATTTTTTTACCGAGTACGGCTTCTGCAGGAGATTGAAAAGCAGTGTTTTCAAAAGCTGACATCCGGCCGAGTCCGAAATTTTATAAGATTATGCCGCAAGATAATCAGTATTTCAACCGCAACCAAGTAATTCTTCCTAATCGAAAACGCATTTCAGAATTTCAGCCAATATTTTATAAGATCGGTCACTCACTGTAGTTTCATGACTTTACCGTTGGGGTTTCGTGGGCTTAGGGCGTGGGATTTACGGTTATGGTTTCGTGGGCTTAGGGTTTCATGGGTTTGGGGTTAGAATCAAGGTCTAGAGTTAGGCTTGGGGTCAAGGTTTAGGGTAATTGTTCAGTTTAAGGTTTAGGGTTAAGGTTTAGGTTTATGGTTAAGTTTAGGATCGGGGTAATAATTTAGGGTTAGGGTTAAGGTGCAGGTTTAGGTTTAGAGTTTAAGGTTTGAGTTAGGGCTAGGGTTAGAGTTTGGAGTTAAGGTTTAGGGTCTAACGTTAGGTTTAGTGTTAGAGTTGAGGACTAGGTTTTCGTGGATTTACGTTTAGGTTTTACGTTAGGCGTTATTGTTACTGTTATGCTTTAGAGTTGGCGTTGGGGGCAAGGTTTAGGGTTACGGCTAGTGTTAGTGTTAGGGTTAGAGTTGGGGTTAGTGTTAGTGTTAGCATTCCTCTCGGCATCTACATGTACGTTTGGGTTTAGCATTAGAGGTAGGATTTCGGCTGAAATTCGGCTTTGGTTTGCTGCCGTGTTTACGTTTATGTTTAGGATTATTATTGCATTTCGGTAGTGGGGTTAGGATTACTTCATTGTCGGCAGTTTAGGTTAAGACTTTAGGTTTTATCGTTACTTTCGCTGCCTTTTAGGGACCTTATCCTACTTTTACTTTCTCATGCGCCTTTTCGCGTTCTTGATCGATTGACCGTATAGTGTGCCTGCCTAGCGCGCACCTTTTTCCGGCCTTGCCGTTGGAAGTTCATTTCCATTGGTTATTAGTTTCTCGGTTCGGTTTCAGTGACCTTGGGCACCCTCTTACGTCCTTCCTTGGCGCACATTTGTTTTTTGGTTATTTTTGATACATTTTAAATTACGCAGCCTTTACTTTGTGACTTTCATATTCACTTAAACAACTCTTGTCCCTGTTGGGATATTCTTCTGAAAAACAATCATTACCGGACAATTTTTCCACTGAATCCAACTGCGCCACCCGTAGAACCCTTATTTCCATGGTTCCCCTTTTACACGCACCTTTCTCCTCCTACCGGGGGGGGGGGGGGCCAGGGCAGCGTTTGCGACCGCTGCCAGCGTTTTTTCTACAAATATTGGAATAAAGCATGCTTTGAATGCGCATTTGTGACCGAGAAACCAAATACTGATCTATGTGCACAACATGTCGCGGAGAAGCCAATAGGCCTCCAATTGGAAGCTAAGTCCATTGCAGACAAGCCTACTTATATTGCCATGTGGCTTTGAAGTACATAATTTATTCCGTCACCAGTTACGACTTTGTGTAACTGGTCCACAGGTACTCCTTTACCTGTTGCTCCACTGTCTTACCGTAAGGCCGTGTTAGACCATTTTCATTCCCTGTCGCATACCGGAATCCGGACTGACTGGAAGTCGATAGGCGCTCGTTTTGTCTGGCCGAAGATTAATTCGGATACTGTTCCAAAACGGCAAAGTCCACGGTCATGCTATCTCTCGAGCAAGCATATTCGCGTCTTCAAAGGCTTGATTTTCTACCGCACACACACATCCTGACGACTGTTGACTGTTTCACGCGATGGCTGATCGCCGTTTCTATCTCCGAAACCTCGGCGGTGGATGCTATCAGGCTATTCCCGACTTACTGGATTTCCACTTTTGGTGCGCCAGCCATCATTACCACTTAATCATGGAAGACGATTTCAATCTGGTCACTTCCATGAATTCACTAAATTGTAAGGATGAAGCATATGACTGGCGTAGGGTTACTATTGTGAACTTCCTACTATATATTTATTAATGTAGGCGTTGTTTGGTAGAGTTTTTAATCACGCCTTCGACGACACTAAGCCCGGCAGGGTGACATTCTTTGAACTAAACCACCCCGAAGACTTATTGTTTTGTACCTCCTACACACAAAGGGCAAAAGATTTGTGGGGATGCAAATGTCGTCTTCCTATACATATCCTCACCGACCACATCGCCGTCATGCCCGGGTACCCAAGGGAGAACATTACGAAACGACTTAATCCTTGACGTCCGCAATATGGGAGAGAAAAGTCTCCAATGCTTCCTTTAGGCCTGCACTATTCAGCCAAAAGTTAAGTTGGTACTGCCCTTCGTCCGCTTGAGCCGGACGCGGGGACGTCCTTCGAGAAGTTTTTTCTTAGGTACGCCTCTGTGAGGTCACACCCTTTTACCACACTTCCCATAAGAGACGCCCCACAGGTCACTTTTTGTCCCCGGTCATATATTTTAGCCTGTCCCACTAAACTGCTCGGATGCCCGCACGTACCAACCATGGCATGGTCTTCCGCCTCAACCGGCCTGGTGGAGCACTGTCAACTCAAGGCTGCGCTGACGTCACACTCAGACTTAGCTTCTTGAAGTGACAATCGCCTTCTAGTGCTCTTGGGCACCGATCTTCTGTCAAAGAGGACATCCAGTGCACCACGACCGAACAGGTACACGGTAAACTCCTCCTTCTACCTAGCAAATATGTAAAGTCCAAAAACATGGATAGCCTTATTCCGGTCATCGTTGGGAAGCGACTAAAACAACGGTTGGCTCAGTTGCTTTCAAATGCCGCCCAGCCGACTTCAAGACCTATGTCTGCGCATGAGGAACTTTTTGTTTTCGTCCAGTATGACACAGCTTGAAATCCCTCGTGATCTCCCTATGATGATCCATTTAATGCTCACCAGCAAGTATACAAGCATTATATCGTTAGACAGACTGATTAAATTGACATCTTCCCGAATGAGAGACTTATGTCAGTTATTTTTAACTTGTTACGCCGCCCGTTGTACCATCCGATCGTTGCTAATTCTTATCATGTGGCACATCTGCTTCAGCCCCTTTTATTCAGCTGCCACGACAGTCCGACCGTCTATTCCGACGATGTCTACCGTGTGCTACAAACCAAGGTTCAGTAGGCACGATGACAGGCGCGTGAATTATTTTATGCCAAGAACAGACTTGCGCAGCTTCTACCGCGCACTCTCCTCCACCCCCACCTGGATACGGTGTCAAGACAAATTCCAGAAGACCGGAGGCGGGGGCAGGACGCAGATGACTGGCACGTTGGGAGCTCAAGCGCATCTACCGACAAGAAACCAGGTGTCGGGGAACTGCCAGCGCATACCAGTCTGCGAGGACCATCGTTTGCTGATGCTGGCATAGAAAACACTTTCAGACCTTCGGACCTATAAGGGCGACACCCTGCTCGGCATTCAGCCTGGGCCGTCACCCTTCAAGGTTGCGTAACCAAACGGTTGACGACTGGCCTGGAAATTCGGCGACTCATTCACGCTGATTTGGGGTGCGGCGTAGGCAGCGTCGGGGGGCGGTTGGTGTAGGACCATCGTCTTCTCTGTGTTTATGATCAGGCCGAAGTTATCGCAGGCAGCGGAGAAGAGATCCATGCTCCTTTGCATATCGCCTTCAGTAGTTGCATTGAGGGCGCAGTCATCGGTGAACAAAAGTTTGTGGACGGTGGTTGCGGATTCACGCGACTGGAAGTGCATCCGCAGGTGGTTCAGGAGGTGGCCGTCCGTCCTGTATGCTACGCGGATCCCAGGGCGTTCGTCACGGTAGGCGTACATCAGCATGGCAGTGAACATGAGACTGAAGAGAGTAGGCGCGAGGACGCAGTCCCGCTTCACTCCGTTGGTCACTGCGAATGCCCCTGGGACAGCTGCACTGTCCGTGACTCGAACCTGCCAACACCACACTCATTTATTCACCAAACCAATCCACTACGACACTCCTTGCCCACAACCGCGCATGGTATTTCGTTCTACTAAATGCATTTATTTTCCTGCCAATTTCAGAGACTTTATACTATAATTTTTTGCATATTTATAGAGTTTTTTGAAAAATCAAACGCTCTAGTAGGCGAGTTATGTACATTCCAATTTCTGTCGTCACATTCACTTTTACGCCCGAAGTTCTATGCATTGTTGCTTTAATGCGCAAAACACGCACAACAACCAGCATCGACTTGCTCCGACCCGTGTTCTGAGTTCGCCGTCGCTTAATATTGATGTTTCACCAATCACGTTTCTATGTCTGAGTCCTTTTAAGTTTACTAGGATTTGCTCCTCAGGCGCATGTTACCGGCCGTATTTTTTTCCGTGAAACAAATGTCGCGAACAGAGTTTAGTTAGAGGTTTTCCGAAAACACCCAGAGACTCTTGTTTTCTGTAGTGACTTGATGCAGGAGACGGCCTTACTTTATTGGGCTCTTTTTTCAGATCTCATTTTCTCTCTCGTTCTACATAAGTTAAACGCAAAATGTCCCGCTTAGCGCCGGGCGTTTTCTGTTTACAATTTGAGTTTAGTTTTATTGAGGGAAAGATAACCTAACGCTTTTAAAATTTCTATTGGTTACAGAAACACTGGAAACAACACGAATACATAAAACTTTAAAAGTGAGGCTGCTTGCATCTATGAATGTGACAAATACGGTAGGAGGGCTAACTTGTGAAATGTCAACCGAAATTCCGAAATGGGATCTCGTTTCGAAAGGCTTATTTAAATAAAGCTTAAAATTAATCGTCGCGCAACATAAATCTACAATAATTCAGTTACCCCAGGACGCCGGCTTTTGAACGAACCTATTTTTGGCTGCATGCAAAAACTATACTCTGTAAAAAATGACTACGTAAGTCGTATGTATTCTTTTCATTGATGTTAGATGCCCCTACGAATTCAATTGTATTTCAAGGAAGTTAGGCAAAAAATATTCATTATTTTGCTCATTCGGTAGAAAATTACGTCCTTTCCCAAATTTTATGCTCGAAGGAAGAGTATAATTCAGTTTTCAAATACTTTTCCAATTCCCGAATAATTTTGAACACCTGCCATTTTACTTTCATTCAGGGTTTCCAAACTACAAGGCGCATATTTTCCGCATACGGAAAATCATATATTTATCTACCAGTTAACAGGAGGCAATATGGGGCTCATAAAATTTAGCAGTGGATTTGAGCCGTTTTGTTAACTTTTCAAGCCCGACTGTTAAATGCAGGGACATGACGTTTTATGAACGGTCATTTCACGGTCTTAAAAAATCTCACAATTAGAAACTTTTAAAGCCGAATTCCTTCGAGTATAAAATTGGAAGAGGACGTAATTATCTACCAAGAGAATGAATATTTTTTGCCTGCTTTCCATGAAATATGATTGCATTTTTAAGGACATCGCAAATCATTGGGAAAAGCGCATGTTAATTAAGTAGTTATTTTTCACAGTCCGGCTTTTGCATGAGACTGGAAAGAGGTTCGTTCGAAAGCCGGCATCCGGAGATAATTGAATTATTATAAATATTATGCCGCAGGATGATTGGTCTTACAACCCTACTTAATTAGTCTTTTCGAAACGAAAATGCATTTCGGAATTTCGGTCGCCATTTCACGAGTTAGCCCCCCCCCTACTGTAGTTAGCAGGCTGAAGTATGTGAAAATACAAATTTAAGCGTACCTAATAGTCGCGAGTAGTATAATACTATGTACATTTAAAAAGTAAATTAACAGCAAGTGAGTGTTACGGAAAAGTTAGATATTGAATGCGTGCCAAGTTTAGCCTTCAACGAACCCACATATGAGGAGTGAATAATCTCTGCGGGTATGGATTTCCACGCTACAACCACCTTGTTACTATAGAATACTTTTGCAGTTTTTGCTTCAGTCCACACTGCAAACCATACACTATCTCTTGACCAATCTCTTACTAGCTGTAGATAAAGATAAAGTGCCTAGCAGCTTCCCAAAATTATCGATCTCATCCTTTTCCCACCTCACTGCAAAATATTCATTTTCCAGTCTGCCATATATCGCTCTCCTCACTTGGTAACCTGCAGACCACCCTTCTGAGAGTGCTGAAATTCTTTAAATTACTGGCATTACTACTATGTTCCGAATCGTGTCGGCTTTAGAGGCAGCTGACGTCTGCTTTGCTGAAAGGAAGCCACGCATAAAGACCCATATGGAAAAGTTTTCTTGTGTCTGAGACAAAAATGGATATTTGGGGATACGTAAAGTCGTCTACCAGCCTATTTGAACTATGACAAAAAAGCGAAGACTTACATATTTGATTTTTGGGGATGGAAAACAGCGTAAATCACTAAAAGACACATTTTCCAAAGGATGTTACAACAATGCCCCAAGCCCAGACAAAAACACGGTTTACAAATGTTCGTCATCAAAGCAATGACATTACCATTGGAATCGAAGGGAATAATCACAGGAAAAAATCATGAAGAAGCAGATTGGATCGCAGGGCAAGGAGCTTTATTCGTCCAACTTTTTAGATTCCTGCTCAAACTTATCATCAGAATCAATGGCAGATTGGGACAGTTCACGCACAAGGGTCCGCAGTATTTATAGGATGTATTTGCTATGCGACCGCATACCTATGAAAATTCACGGCTTACCCTTCGTCAGGTATTGTTACACTTGGTTTGATGATGGGTCGATGGTCAGTATTCGCGTAGATAATCGCTGCAGATTCACCACGTGTGCTGTACGCTGATGTGATGATTGTTCAACTATCTGACCCACCGACCCTGGCGTTGGGAACAGTGCTCACCTGTGCGCTCTCCGTGTGACTAACTACTCCGCTTAGCCGATGTCTCAGCACCGAATATGTAAGAGGAAGGCCACTGCATTTTTTAATAGATTTGGGAGCAACGACGCACGACCCAAGCAGCTCACGGCTCACGCGGCTGTCACCTAGAGAGCGAATTTCGACATCAAGGAATTTGAATGTGTGGTCGGATCTCGTCGAATGAGCCACAATGTGAGAGCTGGCGTCATTTTTTCGCACTGCTGACGCGTGCTCGGCTATTCGCATTCGCAGCAGTCTTCGGGTTTCTTCGACGTAGTTGCTCTATCCGCAGCAGCACCAGATCCAATAAACGACTCCTGAAGTTTCTTGCCGTGGCAGAGGGTCTTTCGGTTTCATTATCTGACACCTGATGGTTTTTGTTCAACTCCAACCCCAAGTGGCGCGAGAAGGCAGCAGACGGCTTCCGAAACGTTCTTGACATACAGCAGCGTCCGTCAAAATTGTAGATGCGTGCGCTTGGGCCCTTTGTCCTATGTGCCCACGCACCGGTTGACGAAGTTTCGCGGGTAGCTGCTCATTGCAGTGCGTTTCAACGCGCGATAGAGCGTCCTTACGCAACTGCATTTGTGGCCGACAGAGTGGTTTTTATTAAAGTTCGGTACTTACGTCATATTTGTCGGTTTCCTGGACACTTTGGTTCTTGGGCCACCATGGTGTATGCGGCAAACGTGGACGTCCAGGAAGGTCAGCTGGTTGTCTTCTTCTTCCTTTGATATAAACGTATGTCCGGTAAAGCATGCTTTAAATGCTGGGCCAAGGTTAATTTGTTACATTAAATGGTAGTTTTCTTGTCCATGTAACACCTTCTATGTGGAATGTTTAAACAGGGGACATTTAGATTGCATTTCCTATTTCAAAACTACATCTATCTATATGCAGACAGACGGACAACGATTTGAAGAATTGGAAGAGCCCCAACAAAGTCTGGACTGCAGTGTCCGGGAGTGATCATCGGAACGTGAATTTGAACGGATCTTGAGTCCATGTCTAGCATACAGAGTACATTCACTTCCTTGGATAGTAGGCAACTAAAATTAAATTAGACAGTTATCGCCAGTCATAAGTTTGTTTTGCTACGTCACGGAAAGAAAGACTTTCTGCAGTTCAGTCAGAATAAAAGTTTGTCCTAAAGATTTCATGGTGTAAAGTAACTGCAACCGCTTATTCGCAGAACTTAAGTAATCTACTGTGTGCATCGGGAGTTTTAATTGTGCGATCTATGAAGTGCTGTAGCAGCTTGCAAGTACTAACGTCCTTTGTCGTCCCAAGGTAGGAATAGGAGGTATAGCTGATAAAATACAAAAAAATCAACAACTGGAACCAATTCGTTAGTCTCAGGGCATAACAATGAAGGTGTTTGGGTTCGACGAGAATAATTCATCCAAAAAACACCTGCGGCATGCGATGCCGATATGCAGTAGGGATTTGTAAACCGTAGTTGGTCAATTTTATGAAATGCCGACCGAGATTCTGAAATGCATTTCTGACAAGAAAGACTCACTTAGGTGGTGTTACAATATTGATTAGTCGTCAACATTATCCCAAAATATGTAAGCCACATCAGCCGTCTGCAAAGCATATGTTTGATAAAAAATGACAACTTCGGCAAAATGGATTTTTCTATTGATACTCGATACTGCTAAAATTTAAGCACATTTAAAGAGACCGCATGCAAATAACTTTTGTGTGTTCATATGCAAGCAGGTAACGTCTTCTCCGAATATTATGCTTGATAAAATGGCATGTGTATGTTTTTAAAAACCTTTTTAATTACTGAACAGATTCGAACGTGGCCTGCAGTTGCGTTTGCGGTTACAGTTTCCATACTGCATGTTGCATAGTTTCCGCGAAAAGCAAATTATAAATTCACCTACGCCTATACAACACTCCAAACAAGGGTATTATGAGTTTACAATGCATATGCATCATAGGCAGCATTTATAGATGTCCAGATAGAACGCTAGATAGATGGACTCTTCACGGTTTTGGAAAA